TGAGCCGCCCTGAGTCCCCCTTGGGGAAAAGGGCGGCATATAAATGTAATAAAATCTAAATCTAAAATCTAAATTTTTCTGGCTTCTAAGTCCGTCCACCCACTTCCTCTTCTCTAGCCGTACAAGCCTTTCCCTCCCATCTGACATGGTTGGGGAGTGGGAGGGGGGGAACATCCTCTCCCCCTCTCCCCCTTCTTCCCTTCTCTCTTTCTCTGCCTCCTTCCCTCATCCCCTCATTCCTCCTCTCCTCCGACGGCGCGGCCAGCCCCTCTGGTTTAGAGAGCATGGTTAAGTGCCCTATCAACATGTTAATCAAATTACTTAGGAGCTAAAATTGACGCTTTTCATTAATTATACAAGATTATTCTAATTGCGAATTCAAATTTATGCGCTCGGAACAGAAGGTGTTCGGCGGCGTCGCTGGGAATTTGCATGTTAAATGGGGAGCGCAGCACATTAGGCATGCTAATGTATGCACATTGTCTTTATTTTTAACTCCGCGGGTTTCTATGCACCACTGCTACTTAAGAAGGTGAGCAAGTCGGACATGTGTTTATTCTTATTTCCTTCCCTTTTATTCGGAGGTAGCGGTAACCTAGAGGGGAGGGCAGCATGTTGCGTTGGGGGTGAGTGTGTGAAATTGCCAGTTCGCTGTCAATCTTGCAATTGGGGGGGGGGGAAAGGCTGCTCCCCTCTTTTTTCTTCCCTCCCCCTCCAAAATTTATGATTTTTTCCTTCTGTGCCTTCCCTCTCTTGATTACCACCTGCAAAGACCACAGGAGCCCTACCCAACCGCTAGTCTCAACCGAAATTTCTTTGGAAATAGTTTGCTTCCATGATGAACTCCTAGACATTTAACAGAGTTGGAAGGGACCTTGGAGGTCTTCTAGTCCAGCCCCCCTGCTCAGGCAGGAAGCCCTAGACCATTTCAGACAAACGGCTGTCCAGTCTCTTCTTAAATACTCCAGTAATGGAGCACCCACAACTTCTGAAGGGCAAGATATTCCGCTGATTGATTGTTCTCACCAACAGGAAATTCTTCCTTAGTTCCTTCTCTCCTTGATTAATTTCCATCCATTGATTCTTGTCCTGCCTTCAGGTGCTTTGGAGAATAGTTTGATCCCCTCTTCTTTGTGGCAGCCCCTCAAATATTGGAAGGCTGCTGTCATGTCACCCTTAGTCCTCTTGGTTTAAACTAGACGTACCCAGTTCCTGCAACCGTTCTTCCTATGTTTTAGCCTCCAGTCCCCAAATCATCTTTGATGCTCTTCTCTGCATGCTTTCTGGAGTCTCTGCATCTTTTTTACATCGTGGCGACCAAAACTGNGGTATATAAGTCTAACTGCTATTGCTATTGCTATCCACCCCCTTTTTAAATGTTGTGCAAATGCACAGGCCATTTTAAGTGCAAATGCGCATGTGCACGAAGAAAGTTTTTCGGGCGCGGAACTGGTAGCAATGGCAGCAGGAACCAACCTCTGCATGTAAACACATATACACACACATACACATACACACACACACACAGAATGCACTTTTTCCCCCTTGTTTTATTCTTTGCAGAACTCGGATGAACTCATCTAACACAAAAGCTGAAAGAAATCAGTAAGTATCCAACTGTGGAGACCTTTATCTTCTAGTTACCTACTTGACAAGAAAGACGGATGCTGACATTTCCTGAGTGATGAGGCAGGGCAAAATTCCGGCCAGCAGAATTCATGAAGTACTTTGAAACGTAGCAGCATGTCATGTACAATAAATTGCGATAAGCTATCAACACACAGAGCCTACCTCAAATGTACTTGTCATTTACCAAAATATATTCCGGCATTACGTCACCAAACTGAAGAAGCTCCTTTTGTTTGTTTATAAGAAGGTTCATGTTCAGAAATTCTTTTGAAAAAATGAACAACAACCTTATTTAATCTTTGTACTAATGTATATTGTATACCATCTTTCTGGTGAATTGAAAATATATCCCTGTTAACTTCTACCAGTTTAATAATAATTTAACCACCCTAGGATATCCAAAGATTTGTGTGATATAGTGAGTTAGATGTGGATTCTCATTCTTCGCTAACGGTTTCCCGTCTGTGACAAGTCCTGCAAAATGTAAATTAAATGATTGCATAAAAGGAGATCCCAGTGGTGCTTTTTTTCAAGAAGTAACTGGATTTTCTTGTGGGTTTTTTTCTTTCTTCTGGAAGACGTTTCACTTCTCATCCAAGAAACTTCTTCAGCTCTGACAGGATCGTGGGGAACTAGAATAATAGAAAGTGTGGCAGGCCAAAAATCTAAAAGGGATATGGGAAAATGAAAGTTTCCCCCACCCCCCCAAAAAAAATATTTTATACAATGCCATTCTCTCCAAATATATGTTTCTTTTTGCAACTTTCAAATATTTATGTTTAATACAAAGCAAATTGTTATTATATCAAACTATCAGGGCTAGCAGTAAGATCCGAACATAAATCTCTGCATTTGATGCTTGTCCTTGTTTGACCCATGTATGTGATATCATCTTAGAAATACAAAACCGATCATGACAACTGAGCTGGAGAGAAATAGAAGCCATTTCCATTATGAATCACATGCTGAATTCTTAGTTATCCCCTTACTGGAGTTCTTCTGAGATGGATGGAGACTGTTGTTCTTTTGTGCAAATGTTATTGTTGGTTCTTCAGCTGTACCACACCTCTGGAGGCCTTAATTTCTCTTCCTACTTATTTCTTTAATCCCCAGGCCATCTTTTTTTCTAGAGAAATCGAATTCTTAGCGTCCCTCACAGCTATTTAGAATCAAACAAGAAGATAGGCAGATACAGCTTTTGGTAGCAATTGGAAATGAATACACAATATAACCCTAAAAGAGGCCACTCTGAGTCGCTACGAAAACGGAAAACACACAGGCAGAAACCCATTAGTTTTAGACACAAGGAAGCAAAGCCAACAATACCCTAGATATTGGCTATTGGTAGAAATTCACACAAGCTAGGAACTGCCGATGTCCCAGCTTTATTTAAAAATTTAGAAAGCTGCACTATCTTTAGAGAGTAAATTTACCTGTAGCAAAATCCATGCAATTTTTTTTTTAATGTTAATATCAACAGAATTTTAAATTTAGTATAGGATTGTACCTTGGGTGATTTTAATATTTATTATTTATGTAATATGTTTGTAAAAGCCTTTCAACAAAAGAATTCTTTAAAAAGAATAGAATACATTATTATCTAATTTGGAAGCATTTGCTCTAAGATGCCTTATTTTGGTGTTTGTTTTCCTTTTAAATAGCAAAGTGGCATAGGAAACTGTTGTGACTCAGCAGAAGCTTGCTGTGAGTTGCGTCGGGANGGGCTGAAAGCCCTATGAAGCGGTAGATAAGTCTAACTGCTATTGCTATTGCTATTGCTATCACAGTCATAGATGGTGAGGGAAAGGTTAAAAATATTGCATTTCCTCAGAGGAGGTCTGAGGATAAAGTCAACACAGTTTTGAGAAACAGGAATTGATTGTGACTCCGACTAGATTTGTAGTGGAAGTGCAGAAAATAACTCTTCAGGCCTCTTTCAATTCGCCAAGGTTGGCATTATAAAACCTTCAGTGCCTTCACAGATTTTGATTGTCACTTAATCGCGTAAAAGCAAGGTGGCTTTTAAAAGAGCTGATGCAATGCCTATCACGTTAATTCTCCTGAAAGAAGATCTGATTGAGACTCACATGGTTTTGCGTCTTGTATAAAAAATTACTGTCTTCAGGGTTTAATTGCTAGACGCTTTTGATTGCATTAATACACAGCTCATTTATTTAAGTAGGAGTGGAATATTATGGATCTTTAATCAGGAAGCCTTGTGATGAATCAGTATTTAAGCACACAAATGAATCTACCTAGGTCCTTTTGGTAATATTAATCTAAAGGCACATTCTTGTTTTTACAGGTAATCTTTCAGATTAGGAACCAGACAAAATAGCCTTTAAAATGTCTACAATTGAATGATCTCAGCAACAATTCCAAATAGATTGTTCTTAGCAACCACC